CTTCCCGGCTGCTCAGCTCATTTTTTATTTATTTAATTGTTTTTTGTTTTGTTTTGCTTTTATTGCGGCATATTATGGGGGTACAAATTTTAAGGTTTCAATTAAATGCCCTTTCTCCCCTCCCCCCTATCTGTTTGTTTTAAAAATATATATTTTTAAAAATATTTTCTTCAAAATTTAATCATTTCATTTACATTTTTGGACAAGGCTGGGTTCCCATATTTTTATTTTTTATTTTTATTTTGAGGCAGAATCTCGCTCTGTCGCCCGGGCTAGAGTGAGCGCCGTGGCGTCAGCCTCCAACTCCTGGCCTCCAGCGAGCCTCCTGCCTCAGCCTCCCTCCCGAGTAGCTGGGACCACAGGCACGCGCCGCCACGCCCGGCTCGTTATTTTCTATATATTTTTACTTGTCCGACTCATTTCTTTCTATTTTTTTCAGTAGAGACTGAGGGTCTTGCTCTTGCTCAGGCTGGCCTCGAACTCCTGACCTCGAGCGATCCTCCTGCCTCGGCCTCCCAGAGTGCTGGGATGACAGGCGTGAGCCTCCGCGCCCGGCTCATTCTTTCTATATGATATTTTTAGTTATCCAGCTAATTTCTATATATTTTTTTTTAGTAGAGACGGGGTCTCGCTCTTGCTCAGGCTGGTTTTGACTCTCCGAGTCACCCCGAGGAGCAGAAAACCCCGGAAACCCACCGCGATGCCGGACTCCAACGGCCCTTCGGGGAAAACCCTGGGGACTTCAGACTCCCAAGACGAGCAAGGGAAACTGAGGCAGGGGAGTGGCGGGGCCTTCCCTGCCCCCACCCACGAGACATGAGAGCCACAGAGGGGCAGACGGAGGACAAGATTATTATTATTTTTTTTTTCCGACGAGCGCCTTGATCAAGCCGTGCCTGAAACCCTTTCCTCCCCGGTTTCCCCCACCGAATCCCATCCAAGAGCCCCCCTCCCGGGCCGGGGTCCCCCAGGGGCCACCGCCATGTCCCTCCCCCCCCCCGTCCTCCCCGGAAGTTTCCAGAAAGCCCCCTCACCTCGGCCTTGTTCCGAGACAGCACGCTGGAGTCAATGGGGCCCAGGGACAGGTTGGGGAGGACCAGGTTGAGGACTTTGGCGGCCAGGACCTGCTCAGGGGGGGGGACAGAGACAAAAACACAGCCAGTCAAGAAGAAGGGCGGCCGCCCGGAACCCCGGCCGGGCTCCCTCGGCCCCCCGAGTCAGCGAGCACTGGAGAGGGAGCAACTTGGCTCTTTTCGCCCAACTCTGCACCCCAGGGTCGGGGATCAGGGGTCGGGGGGTCAGGGGGCTCGGGGACATCCCCCGGGGCCATCACCCTGCGGGCTCCGAAACGACACAGCACGCCCACAGCCAGGCGTGCAAGAAACGGGCCAGCGCAGCAAGACCCCACCCGGCAGAAAAACGCTGAGTCAGATCTCGTCGCCGGCCCTGGGGGTCGTGGGGTCGTGGGGACCTGGTTCCTGTCCCCGTGACTCGGGCTGTGTGCACACGCCGAGCGTCCGTGACGACGCACGCGTGTGTTCGCGCGCGCGCCGGGCTCCAACCCGGTTGGGCCTCAGATTTCAAGCCGTCCTCCCTCCCCGGCCTCCACCAAGCCTCTCCTTTCGGGTCTCCTGTTTTGTTTCCCTCCTCTTGGGAGAAAGGGGTTCGTCCCGGTTTATTCTGCGACGTCGTGCAGAGTCTCGAGGGGAGGGAGGACGCTATTCCGAGAGCGAGCCTCGAAACTCCGGAGTCAGCCTCCGATGGAGGCCGGCAAGCCGTGAGTCCTCAATCTCGGTCTGTTGTGAGTTGTTTTTTTTTTGTTTTGTTTAAAAAACGAGCACCGGGCGGAGGGCACGCCGGAGTCCCAGCTACCGGAGGGAGCTGAGGGCAGGAGGAT